GTTTGTTTGCACTCATGAAAACTCCTCATATTGTCAGGGGGTAGTGATGTAAATTGCTGCATTGGAAGCCCGAATGCAAAGCCAGGCTCTTTTCTCCCTGGTGCCTGTATTAATGCTGCGTCCCTCTGGACCCAAATCAGCTTTTCTGCAGGTTTTTCACTGTCAGGCCATTTTACCTGCTGCACAAATGCCAGTAAACCTCTTAAGCCCATTCTGCCCCATTTCTTTCTCCCTTCCCCTCCCAGCTAGTCTCGGAGGATTCACCGAAGATAAAGACTCAGCCTTTCCGGCTATCCCGTGTCGAACGCGCTTGAAATGTATTGCTGTCACATGCGTTGTCATGCCTGTGATCTTTGTGTTTTTACTTTACAGTCCGCGTTAGCTGCAGCGCCGCTCTCGGCTTTTTACTGATTTTGAAACGGATCTTCGGCAGTCCACCTGTCACGAGGATCAGATGATGTCACATGCTAATTTGCACATCGGATGTCCTCGGCTCTACAACTTTCTCGTTGTCTTAAAAGATTTGTAAAGGAAATTGCAGGACTTTGAGTCTTTTTTTTTTTAAAACCAATTATAATGAAATATCACTTCACCTTAAAGTAAAACATGAAAAAGGAATAAAAGAGTGCCGGTCTGCCTGACAGGCCGGATTTCTTATGAAACAGCTCACTGACATGTCTAAAGTTAAGTAGCAGCCTTAGTTTTAGGAATGAATTAGAACTTATTTTTACAATAAAGACAAAGACTTGACATTGACAGCCGAGCAAACAACAAAGTGTTACAGCCGATGTCCTCATCCACAGTAATCTGGAAGCTGAAGTCAATGTCATCCAATTTCTTTCTTCTGTTCTCACTCGACACTGATTGCAGTATTTTCCATTTTGAATATTAATGTGCATACCTTTGTTTTAACTGAGCTTTGAATACATTGTTACATTGCGCCATTTGTGTTTTGTTTTTTTTACAGAAATATTTCTACAATAGAAATAAGCATACTTTTGTTGAAAGCTGCAGGCATAAAACAACAGACGTCCTTCACTTGAATTACCATCGATGTAGCAAAAGTGGAGGAGGCGTGACATTGAGTGTGTGTGTGTGTGTGTGTGTGAGTGCAACTTTGACCCGAAAAACCGCGGTGTGATCCAGTCAACAGTCAATACTGGATTCTACCGAGCATCCATAAACAAGTCGTCAGGAGGCTGTGATTCTTCCAACAGAAAACTTGTCTCCGTTTTCTTCCTTCAGGGCAGAGAAGTGGATGGAAAATCAATTATGTCTGAAATAAATAATCCTCTTAACATGAGGCAGTTTGAACGTTGACGACAATGGCTGTTCAGGAGTTTTCATAGCTGAGGATCTGAAGCAGAGCGGTGCGTCTCTCTCTCTCACACACACACACACACACACACACACACACACACAGTAATGTTGATAGATTGTATTTTTAGAGGTGAGGTGAGAGGAATGTGTGGGTGTATGCTGATGAAACAAGTGGAAACATGTTTATTAGTTATTTTTTTGTTTTTATTCACTGATGCAATGTACAGAAGTTCCAACATATATGGAAAATAAATACAATTCATATGTCCCTTTCATTAATCAACATATGAAAACATGTAAATAATTAGTCCATCCAAATCATAAAAAACACATATTTTTATACTTTGCTCCGTTGGTATATATTCATGCAGACTGTTTTGGTTTCATTTGCCACCTGTCTTTCTCTGAGATGTCTGCCTGAACAATCGAGTTAGAAGGCTTTTCATCGGTCCCTCTATAAGATTCTAAATGTCCTAATGAGCAGCAACCAGGAGTCACAAACTGACAACATAGATTACATTACTGTAAAATGGGTTACAAGGTCAGACAAACAAAAGATGATGATGATGACTTGATCATAAATTGAACTGAAATCACCGTGGACTACGTTATAAACGACGAGTGATGGGATACAGTTTCTGGAAAGTCAAGTTTTTATTAAGATTTTACAATGATTGTTTGAGTGTTTTTGGGGAGCACGAACAAAATCCCATTCCCCTCCATTATATTTGGGTGGAGGCAGATGATTTACAGAGAGATATCTTAAAATATCTGCGCTTGCAACCAGAAACTATCTGCGTGACTAAACACCACCGGGACTAAATCGCAAAAAGATGTTTCCTTTATTTTTTGTTTTTTTGGTGAATTGACCCTTTAACGTAAACCTGCAGGATGTCTGAGTCAACACGTATCAGATGCTTGGCTCAGGACAGCAGAGGGCCACACGCTGCACCAGCATCCCAGCACAGAGAAGATGATGATGATGATGATGATGGATGGTGCAGTCAGTGGGTTTAGTGGTGCTGTGGCTTCCAAGAGGTTTGTCGGGGTTCAATTGAACAAAGTGCTGCAGAATACGGGAGAGCACAAAAGGCTCCTGTGATATTCTCACAGGCTAATCTTATAGAAACCTACAAACCATATGGACAGTGGCTCGCATTGTGTTCTTAGTGTGTGTGTGTGTGTGTGTGTGTGTGTGTGGAGATAGAGAACATGTGAGAATGCATTTGGCAGAAATAACAATGTTGGCCCTTATGTAAGAGGGCTGAACATTGGCTTTAGGTAAGAAAGATGTTACTCCACAGTTATCGCATCAGCTTCACACGATGCTCAACCACACATGTTTGGGAAAACAGCATTACATAAGGACCCGCTGAATTGTGTGGAATGTATCGTGAGTGAGTGTTTTGGTTGCTCCGTGGGAAACTATACCACAGATACAGAATACAGTTGTCCCTCCTCACTCAGTTCAATACATGCAGTTGTTCCTCTCAAAACTTGTAGTAATCTCGGGCCTGATCTAGTTCAGTTGTCTTCACCAGTGTGACCTTTTTGCCTTTCTGTGTTGGAGTTACATAATAGAGTTTATAAACTGAGAATTATTGCTGACACAGTTACTCATTATTCTATTTGTGAAACAGAAAATGTTCAAAGAAAAAAAAAATAAAGAATCAGTAAATTAGGTCAGACTGAATTGGAGGTTCCCCTGTCTACAGAAATAACATGGAATAGAGCACACACACACACACACACACACACACACACACACACAAAGGGTGATCATTACAATACATAGAGCAGAAATGGCAAACATTTTAATTATGTGGTCATCTTAGGCTGTTTGTCATGTTTGAGGTATATTCACATGCAGAAATGAAATGAAAAGATTTGTAAAAGTACACATAAAAAAATAATTAAAATATTGTGTTTGTACTGGTGTAAAGTAATCCTTTGCAGCATAAGGACATATTCACACCTCAATTAAAGTTTATCGAGTGCAATTTATGTATTTTTATATTTGGACATTAAACTTTGACTTTAGACATTAAACTTTGCACTGTGTACTGAACTCTCTCTCTCTCTGTCCCTCTTTTCAACAGATTGCTTTCTCTCAGCACAACAGCATCATGGACCTCGTGCAGTTCTTTGTCACCTTCTTCAGGTGAGTTTTGTTTTCCAGACTTATTATCTTATTTGCAGTGTTTTCTGCAGAGCATCCAGCCACTCCTCACGGGGCTTTGCTGCTCCCAGAGACTCTTTGCACAACCTGAATTCACTGAGTTACAGTATGTGGCAGCAGCCCCAGGTGAGACACTTCACCCCCAGCTCTCTTGCTACATCTGCTCAACAGCAGCAAACACAAGTGTGGGGCAACTCCTAGGGGCCAGCTGGGGTTGCCGAGAAAGACCAACGATCCTCGATTTATTTAAGGGCCTTGTTTTACGCTCTAGAAAATAAGCCAAAACCAAATTAACAATCTTGCAGGAAGGTATGTTTTGATGCAGGTAAAAAAATGTGTAGGTGATTTTCCGAATAAACTTTATTTTAATCACATTTGACTTACTATATTTCAAGGTCCTTATGTCCTGCTTAGCACTGAAAGCAGTCCCTTTCTTTGGGACTGGGTGAGAGACGTGTGTGTTACAGCTCGCCGTGCAGACAGGAAGGGGATCTAATGAGATAGTGTTCTGGGGAAGAAGTCTGGAATGAAGTCTGGTGTCTTCAGGCGAGATTCTGCCACTCAACTACGACACTGGACAAGTGTGTGTGTTCAGCTGTGTGAGTGTGTATGTGTTTCCTGTATGTAACCCGGCTGACTGTGTGTTCATGCTTGTGTGTGTGTGTGTGTGTGTGTGTGTCACTGTGCAGCCATGTGAGGAAGTGAGCCATTTTAGTGCCCAGGGCCGGCTTCCAGACATCAGCGACCTTTAGGCCAGCACAGAGGGATGATGTCATCAGTAGGGGACGGTGTCAAGTTTTGCCGGGAGAGTTCAGTGTAGTGTTTCTGCCTGTGTGTGTGTGTGTGTGTGTGTGTGTGTGTGTGTGTGTGTGTGTGTGTGTGTGTGTGTGTGTGTGGGTTAGTCACTGCTCTGTTTATGATGTTCTCTCTTCTGCACTGCACTAGATTCTCAGTGAGAAAAGGTTATGTGCTACAACTACAGGACTTTTTTTCTATCTGTTGTTGTTCTTTTACTGCCATGGTTATATAATGCAATGTGCATGTTTTCTTCTGCTCTGGAAAAGGTATTCAGGTCCTTTACTTATATAATAGTACCATTACCACAGTGGGAAAAGGCTCAGTAACATTATAATACAATAATATAATACTTAAACTTGCATTAATCACACACAATCAAACAAATCTGTAATCTATGTAGTGGTGACACACCCACACAAATGAACACTAACTCTACTAAGCTGTTCAGCGTCTTTTAGCTCAACGTTTCTCAAAGCACATTTACTGTGTAGTTCAGTCTCAACTTTCTGTAAAAACTCCATCTCCAGCCGCAGGCAGCTGTTTTCAGTGAGCTCCAAGCATCCGTGCATCTAAATGTAATTATTTTTACACTCCTTACTATTACAGAACAACTGCTGATGTGAAGTAATGGCAGCGCTTAGATAAAATGAAGTAATGGTCAGATTCAGTTTCCTAATAGAAGAAACACTGTACTAGTACTGCTTCTTCCTCCTGTGTGTCTCAGGATGTGTGCATGTCAGAGATGCAGGCGTATGATGTTATATGCATGTATAACTCTACATTACATGGATGTGTGTGGGTATCTGTATTTCTTTTGGCTCCACTGTGCTGATGCGGTCATGAGTCACGATGCCAAAGAGCCTGAGTCATGACTCTGTGTGTGTGTGTGTGTGTGTGTGTGTGTGTGAGAGGGGTAGCCTGTAGGCAGAAGGCATGGTTATGAGATGCAGTCTGGCACTGGGATGGAAGAGAAGAGGAATATTAGGCAGCAAGTATAGGAAGAAGTAAAGTGACTAAAAGGAGAGATTGGAGAGCCGTCTCTATTGATGCATCTGTCTAACCCGGTCTCACTCTCCACTCGTCTAATGCCGACGCACCACGGCACCCTTTTATATTTCTGTACAAGACACAACAGGCTTTCATTGCACAATGAAACGATGGATGGGTAATGAAGAGGACACTCTTTGTCTAAATTATATTTTATTAAATATGTCTCTCTCTGATTAGCTGTGAAATCGCCTTCCACAAAGATTTAGAAAAGTTTAAAACTTTCCTCCCCTTCCTGTCTCTGACTCCATCCTCCTCATGTATTCTATCTCATCTCTAAATGAAGGGGAGAAATAAGGAAAATGGCCATAATTAAACAGCATTTACGTCTCCACTCTCCATAGTCTGGAATGCTAATTGGTGACACTACACTTCAGCTTTGTCCAATTACTCCCAGCTCTCGCTCGCTTGATTAGCAATCAGTTCTCTCTCTCTTGCTCTCTCGCTCTTCCTCGCTCTCTTTCCTAAAACAGCAGAGAACCTACTCGGCACTAAGTGGCTCCCGGAGCTCGCCCACTTAATTTCCAAATGACCATCCCACTCAACGTCCACTCCCACCAGGATTCTCTGTGGAGATTTTAGTCTGTTCGTTCAAATATCTTTTATTTGTCTCAAAAAAAAATACAAAAAAGCGAGGGCACTTACACACACAGAGGAGCAGGAGTGACATGAGGTAAATTCACAAACTATCACAGGACTACCACCAGGAGAGCGGTGTTCGCGTCCCGTGTGAAACTTAAAGTTAACATATAGGTTTCGGGTCGATAGTGTCGTTAGTCACGAGAGTTACGTGAGTGGGTAGTCACTCCGTAGTGAAGTGACTACCCACTCACAAACCACACTAAGTGGTTTAGATGCCTAAGCCTTACTTCCTGCGAAGACAGACGTTTATTTTGAAAGGACACTATGCATTCATATTGACATGGTTACCTAGTGCGTCTAAAGGCAGTGCCAAGAGGCAGTGTTCAAGTGTCGGTATTAGACGAGCTAATCGCTTTGAGTGCACTGTAGTAACTGAAAGAAACTCTGATGTTCATGTCACCATTTGTACGAACTCTTCTCTTATGGGTGGCTGAACAGAGAGAAGAACTATCAATCAGAATCATTAAAAGGTAGGGTCGTCCAGGGTTAAAATCTCACATTCTGCCTGTTAGACTGACATTTTAGAGCCTTTAGTGGTGTCCCTCACTATTAACATCTGCCATATGAAAATGTCACAGATGTTCAGACTGTCAAAGAAAATGAAGTGTATTGTGCGTTGTAATTGCAGCTTGCAGAATGTGTCAGAACTACAATCATTCCTTCAGATTTTCAGTAACTCTTGACCCTTCTGAATGTTAGGAAGGTTTACAGGTACACACGTTTGAGACGAGACTAAGTTCGTAGGCTGCCTACGAGGTTTTCTTGTGTTGGGTCTGTGGACAATCGTGCTGCATGGGAAGCTGGTTGGACACTTTGACTGACGATGGGAAATTCATTCAGTTCTTCCCACAAAAGAAAGTCTATTTTTCTTTAAGGCAGCAGCCCTGTGTGGTGGGATAGCAATGAGTTTGTTAGGATGTCTAGATATGTAAAGTAGCCATCTGGTACACAGATGAACTTTCACTCACTTAATTCACATCGTCATTTGCTGAAGTCCAAAACGCAAAGATATAAATATTTAAAAAAAGGAGTTAGAAAAAGACACAGATCCTCAGGGTGACCAGCAGATAAAGGTTTAAATGTTGAACATGTTACAGGACCAGAAGCTGCAGCTTCTCTCTCAGGACTGGAGGCAACAGTTTGTCCCGTCTCTCCAGCGACTTGATTTGCTGTTTGTGCAGATGGAAAGCTGTTTCCGATTGTGAGCTATCTGCGGCTCATGTTCAACGAATAGCTTATTGATTTTCCGCTCTGCCCGCTGGGGTTCAGATGTTTCATTGTGTTCTCCTGCTTGTGTGTGTGTGTGTGTGTGTGTGTGTGTGTGTGTGTGTGTGTGTGT